TTTTTCCTTTTTTTTAAAAAAAAAAAAAAAAAAAAAAAGGCAAAGAAAGGCACAGAATTCCATCCACAATTGTTGCCAGCAAAGCATGTTACAGAAAGTAATCCATGGCACCTTTGAACACCTGCTGAAATATTACATGTGGACATGTGGAAAGTGTTCTCTGTGTTTTTAACCTTTTTAGTTTGCATACTCATATTCACACATTATCATTGTTTTTGGCAATGACAAAAATTGCTATCAGGGTTGAAAACACCAAGGTTTATGACCCCCTTTCTTTCTCTTATACCTTTCCCACCTTAGCTCATGGGAACCTTCCATCTAAGTTCGGCAGCTGATGGATTAAGCCCCATTTAAAGAATTTGCCTGGGGAGCTGACACTTCATGTGTCTTGAGGCAATTTTTTTAAAAATTATTTTTAGCTAAAATAAATCTTGAGACAAATCTTGTCAATCACTTATGAGTTATGGAAGGGTGAAAAAATATTTTTTAAAATTGCAAATAACTTCTGAATGTGTTTATTATAACTTAGATAAAAACATAGGAATTTTGAAATGTGCTTACTGCTAACGAGCATTTAGAGAAAATTGTGGTCTATAAAGAAGGGAACTTATTGGCTAAGTACAGACCAAGGTGGGGGCAGGGGGGTAAGAGGCAGGGGAGAGCCCAGCCTGTTTCAGAGGCTCTGACAGGCCAGCCCAGCCCAGCCTGGGCATGGGGAGCTGGAAGCAAACTGGGTACATAGGTCCTGTGGTCCCAGCCCAAGCCACAGGTGGCTGTGAAGGGTCCTACCCCCACAGCCTGGTCCAGCCCCTCTGTGCCTGCCCTCAGCAGCACCCACAGGCCAGCCCAGGTCAGCCCCAGGTGAGGCGGGTGGATGGTGGGGCGATGCCAACCGGTGGCAAAGGTGGGGGGGGGCACCCCGACAGGGGCAGCAGCCCCTGTCACAGTGTCCTGGGGAGTGCAAGCCTCTTTCCATTCGGGGGGGTTCCCTGCAGGCTGGAGCAGGATAGGCACAGCTGCTGCAGCTGCCTTGCACAGGGCAAGTGGTAGCCATGCTGGAAGGGTGGCTATAGGGGCTAAGGCAAATTTTGGGGTGACCATAGCTCCCCCAACCCTCCCATAGTGCCACTGCCACTGCTGAAGTGCAGCCTCCCACACTGGGAAGAGGCTTTCAGTCCCTGGGACACCATGACAGGGAATGCTGCCCAGGTCAGGGTCTCCCCCTCCACTCAACCCTTCGCAGGTCCAGCAGCAGGGGCAGGGCATGGCCAGATGCCAGCCAGCCCCGCCCCCGGAGGCAAAGAGGGCAGAGAGGGGGTTTATTTCCCCCCCTCACCCTCCTTTCCCCTCAGGGAACCCCAGCCGGGATCTGCCTGGCTGGGGTGCAGCAGCTCCTGTGTGGGAGAGAGCAGGTGAGGCAGTGACCAGGGGTGGCAGACCCCGGCTACTGTCCCCCAGTGGGGGAGGGGAGGAGGAGGCAGAAATAAACTCCCTCCCTGCCCCTTTCGCCTCAGCCAGCCATGCTGGCCTGGCATCTCACCGCACCCACTTCCGTGTCACCGGAGTGGCAGAGGTGGGGGGACTCCCTCACCACTTTGCCTCAGGCAGCCGCACCAGGCCAGCATCTGGCCATGCCCCCCACTGCTTGAGCAGCGAGGGTGCGGGGTGGGAAATGCCTGGGAGAGGCTGCTCTGCCTCGGCCAAGCAGGCCCTGGCTGTGATCCCTCCGGTGGAAGAGGGGAGGGAGGGGCAAATGAACCCGCTCCCTGCCCCCTTCATCTTAGGGGGCCATGCTGGGCCAGCGTTTGGCTATGCCTCCACCTTTGCTCTGGCTTCAAAGCAGACGGCATAGCCTAGCCCTTGGGTGCAAAGCATGCTGGGATGTTGGGGGACTCTTGATTTAATTTGAACCAGGAAGGGGTCTGGGAGAGAAGTTCCATAAACTGGTTTGACCTCAATCAGTTAAGTCTAGTAACTACATTCGGCCATTTTGAAACTGGCTTATGTGCATTGAACAGTTCTGTTATGGGTTTAAACCAGTGTCTGATCACTTAAACCAGTTTGTATGTAATTTCCGTCCCTTGCCATTATGTAAATTGAAATATAGTTTATTCCAAATATAATACAATACATTTAGATCAGAAGAATCTAGATCCTAGATGCATCTTAAAAAACTCCAGTGAAATGCTCAGATTTCTCTGTGAACATATGAGGTTAGAATACTCTTTAGG